AGAATCCAGAATGTCCACTATATAAACCTGACTGGATGATGATTGAATAGCCTTTCTACATGTAACTTATTCTTCACTTATTTATTATTATTTTGCATACTTTCAACATTATCTTTTCCCACAGTGAAGTTGTCAAAAAGTGGTCGTCATTCTGAAAATCTATCAGATCACTCACTGGAATACTTATACATGAAATTAAACATAATGTGCACGATCATTTGTAGAAAATTTGAAATACAATTGTTTCCTGACAAGGTAATATTCTCAATGGCTCTGTTTTCAGAAAAAGTGCCACAGAAATCTAATAAAAGGCAAATGAAGTATTGCTGAAAGTACACAAATATTTTTAACTGTTTTGCAGTTACAGAATTAATTCAAAATGATTTCCATGCATAACTTTTTTTATGGTAATTTTAATTACATATTGTTTTCCTTTTCTTAACTTAAATTTACATGTATTAAATATTATGTGGCTTAATCCTAGTACAGTCAAAAGTCGTTAATCCGGACTCGTCGGGACTTCGGCGATTCCGGGTTATCGATTTTTCCGGATTATAGATCATCAGTTTAAATCTCGTAAGATGGCATGCAGAAATTCCAAAATTAAAAATATGAAACCGTAATTTATGAAATAAAGAACAATTATGATCTAAAGGGTATCAAAATTTGCAAAAAGAAAAAGCTTAATATTTATTTGTTTACTTTATTAAACATTTCTTTCAATGTAAGTTGTTTAAGTTTTGCTTCGTTTCATGTGATAATACTTTCTCTTTAATTCTATTAAAACAGACATAATTTCTTGTTCAGTTACAAAGTTCCGCCGTTCAAGTCCTATAATTGCTGTGTCAAGAACACCGACTAATTTGTCAATCGAAATTTTTTTGTTTTCAATAACCTCTGTCACTTTTCTTCGCTATCGGAAGCGAATTATAATGACGAGGAACTTGTTTTAAATCATATCAAAGACGGAGCATATCGAGATGAAATACTACATTTGGTAAGGAATTATAAGCCAAATAAAATAAAAACATCTGCGCTGAAGATAAGGATAGTGCTGACAAATCAACTTCCAATTCATTACGCGCCCGCCGCCGAGCAGCGTGAAAATGATAAACAGATTTCGGATTTCAAAACATACTTTCGCTTTAGATCCTTTACATATTAACAAATATATATCGGAAATTCTATTTGATATAATCGAAAGTTTAAGCTTACTTTTATAAAATTGCTCTTACAGTCTGCAAAAAAAATAATAAGCCGGATGCAATTCGAAAATTAAGGAACAACGCAATCATCAACATTAACTGAAATAGATAATTATTTAGCTTATATGTCCATTACACATAAAATGCGCACGCGAAAACGTATTCTGCACTTGCGCACACTTATATGCGCAGTCGTAAAAGGTCTTACGCGCACGCGTGAATGCCTCTGCCTCTGCGCATGTGTCAACGCAGCGCATGCGCAGAAAGTTTTTAGTTTTGATGTCCGGATTATAGATCATTCCGAATTATGGGTGTCCAAATTAACGACTTTTGACTGTATACGGTGCACATGAGAGTTGGCGAAATTCGGGTTTAAGAAACTAATAAGCGCGCCAATTGTGGTAACCAAGCCGATTTTGGATGCTCTGTAGGAGAGTACATTTGGGAGCATTTTCGCGCATGCTCATTAAATATTTTAAATTGAGAAGTTTTGATTGATGCAGATGGAAGAGAAGAATTATTTCAAACCATTGTTTGAAGTTCTGTTAATCTTCTGTCTTCGGGTGAACTGAATGAGAAAGGATAACATATGTTCAGGTAAAATTTATTTATCTTTTATTTTTTGTATTTTTTAAAATAACAGTAGTGGTTCCGCCGAGTTTCTGATTGGTTAATATTTTTTAATTAATCGGTTTTTGTCAGATACTGAATATAACTTTAGTTTGATAACGTCTTTTATTCTACACTTCGAGTTGCTAACGTATTTTGTTCTACAGTTGGATAACGTTACTTTTCGATTATGATGTGCAATGCTATGAATTGCGAATATTTAAACACAAATTTTTTTTGAAAGTTAGAACTGGAAGGAAAGCTTGCTGTAATTCAATGGGCAGTAGATGCCGGATTGCTGCCGAATTTTAAAAATCGCGCCATGGCCGCATCGTATACTAGGATTTGGAAGGAACGTGGAGTGCTGTTAAGCGTGGGATTTGAAGGGGACAAAAAAGGTAAGCGAAGAGTTTGACTCTTATTTGGTGGAATATATGTGGCGGCACCTGAAAAATAATAAATCGTCATCTGAAAAAATGAAAGACTTTATATTTGCAATAAAAGCAATATATCCGCCACCCGAGTTTGAGGGCCATGGCATTTGAGTTATAATATAGACCCTAAAACATATGTGACACTGAGCCATGGTATTTAATTTATTATATTTGATATGCGAATGTTTTGTATTTGTTGCGATGCATGTTGAAAATTATATTTTTATTTGTTATAAAGTCTGTTAAAAATTATTTTCAATTTCTAAATGCTTGCTTTTTTCCTTGTGTCTCACCGTATGCTTAGGATTTATTATCTTATGATTATCATTTTGTTTACTTTTTTTGCCAACTCAAACTTGTGGTGACGCTTTACCTTGAGGTTGCCAAAAATTTGGCGACAAACGTAAACGCATCATTTTGGTGTTGGCGACAATTTTAAAAATCGCGCCAAGGCCGCACCGTATACTAGGATTTTACCTATTATGTTTAACAAGGCAAATTTTATTTATGTACACTTAATATTCTTTCCTTCCTATCTCTAGTTCATATGCCCTAAGTAGCATGGTTAATGAGCAAAATGAGACTTAAACATGTTTAACATAATTTATTTTCTGCTGTTATGTTTTTTTTTTTTTTTTTTTTTTTTTTTTCGTTTTTGGCATATATATAAATGTAACTTCCATATGCTTCATGTCATGCTGCTTTGACAAATAACATGTTTGAGAAGCAAGACTTGATATATTTATGATTACTATCACATACTTTCTGCTGATATTATTATTAATATCATGTGGATCCCTGCTGATTAGCTATCCCTGATCTTGACAAAAAAATGTAATGTTGAAAATGAGATGTCTGCAGTAGTAAAACAAAGGAGAGTATTTTAGTATTTATGATGTAAATGGCATTAATGCTATTTTAGTTAATATTTGGTAGTCTTCTGTTATCAAGGTCGAATTCAGAAATATATGTATGTATGCATAAATTTCTAAACATGATCCTGATAGCTGAAGAATACCTAATATTTATATCTAAACAGTATACAGAATGCTGAATTAGATGCATGCTGCAAAGGTATTTTACATTCAATTTACGAGTTGAAATTATTGAATTTATGACCATGAAAGTTGTATTATGCCTATGCATTAGTAAACTTACATGCATAAATTTTAGAAGTTACTGGCTAAATATTAAAATATATATGCTTGAAGTGCTCAATATTTAAAAACAACTGAAGCATTTATTTATAAAGTCATTTGCAAAATTCCTTCCGTACTTCCATTACACACATACATTAATTAAATTAAGGGGGAAAAATATTTAAAATATAAAAAGAATAATATAATATTGAAAAATATTAAACCACTAATAATCAATAAAATACTAATAAACTTTTTTGCTAATCTTTGGAATATGGTAACAGGTAGTTTGGCGACATTTTGGTAAGGCAATGAAGGTTACTAGCTAGAACTTTAGCAGTGTACATGGATATAGTCAAGAATGTGCGCAATGCCATTTTTGTTCAATTCTGGGATGTTTTTTTAAGTGAAAATAGGTCGACGTGTACATGGATGATACCGTGTACGTGCAATTCTTAAAAACACGGCAAGCAGTGGGCGATTCTGCACTTTGTCCCAATTTCGCACCTAATCTTCGTCATGATTAAGTACTTTTGTTCCATAAAAGTTCTAGCATAAGCATAATTCGGCTAGCAGATTGTTGGAAAAAAATGTTGAGTAAAACACAATAACATGCCTTTACTTCATGAAAACAAAATGGCGTCCAAACAAAAACTAGCAGGTTGCTGTAGCAGGGTTGGTCGCCAAAAAATCGCCAAGTTACCATAATACAAAGATTAACCACTTTTTTTATGCTTGAGATCCTTATATTGATAATTTTTGCGAAAAACAATGAAAAAGTTCCAAGTGAAACAGATTTTCTTTTTTGTACACAGATGTTCACATTTATAAAGTGTGTATCCTTGCAAATTAAAATTTAAGCCTCTTTCAACACTGGATAAAAAAACATAGAAGTTTTTGGCTGTAGTGTAGAGTTGAGTGCCCCTTGGACTAGCGACAAATATTGTTCAGTTTTGGCGATTAAACCCATTTCTGGTTACCATGATAGTTTTAACTTTGCTTAAGCTTCCTGATTTTTTGTAAGTGAAAATAGGTTGATGTGTATATGGTCAAATCTAAGGCAGTGCGCAATGCCTAGTTTGTGCAATTCTCCGACATTCTTTTAAGTGAAAATAAATCGATGTGTACATGGACAACAAGTTTGTGCAATTCTTTGACTTCTTATTTTGGTTTTATGTAGTGGCCATCTTGAAATTGTGCCTTCCTAGCAACGATATTAGTACAAAAAAGGAATTGGGGAAAAAAAAAAAAAAAAAAAAAAAAAAAAAAACAAGGGACACCCAATTGTAAAATTCTACCCAGTTCTTGAATAAATATGTACTATATTTGAATTCCTTACCTGCATATAAATATTTCTATACTCATTCATTTTTTTTTTTTTTTTTTTTCAAATGTCTTCTTAGATACTTTACACACATGAGGCTGCTCTATTTGGTGAATTTATCTTAGACGACCTTATTTCTCTTTATCAGTATAATATGTGATAACTGTATACCGGTTTTATGAATGCTATACACTCGAGACATTTGATATTGCAGCTGGATAGCCATTCTGAGAATATTTCTGATAACAAGTCTAATCAGCTAAAAGGTATGTTAAAAAATGGAACTATGTAATTTGCCTGCAAGTCTTTAATATTTTATCACAATAAAAAAATCACCTAATATATTATTTTGTGTTACAGGTTCAAGAAAGGCATCTCTATCATTAATTTAATAGCTTTGATCGTTAAACTCAGAAACATTTTTAACACAAAGAACATACAAATTACAGTACACATATGGAATGAGACATTTAAACCTGCTCCAGAATTGCATCTCAGAAGTATGTCAAAGTGGTAACAAGCATAGATCACCGCAGCACATTTTGGTAGGTAACAGATGTAATAATGAATATGAATGAAACAAAAATCTCTAAAAAGTTATATCCAGGGTCAAAAATTCAAATCTGAGAAAAGGTGGAAGAAACACAAAATGTATCATGGCAGATTCTAAGAGCAGCAATCCAAGGCTTTTCAATCCAGGTCGGTATAAGCAGCTTTAGACTCTTTAGGACTGGACAGATAAGCAAATGTAGCTTCAAATCAGCATTAGTTAAAAATGCAATTGAGATATAACTTGCATAGATGTAATTTTTTGCTTTTTAAAAAGAAATAATTAGATAATAATTTATTTGTATTAAATGACAATTCAAAAAGCTCACCACAACGTCAGCAGTACGTTTTATAGCACTCTGTAATAATACGTTTAAATCTAAAATTCTGCCACTGAATGACTTTCTTATTACTAAGAATTTCCCCACCAATTAATACTCACAAATGTTGTCATTCAAACTGACTTGACCGCAAAAAGTGAGGTTTTTTTGCTGCATATACAAATCCTTAATAGGGTGATAAATTAATGTTGATACTAATTTAACATCTCCTCAAAAGACAGAAGGCTTTTCTACTTAGACCAACACATATTTTTCAAATTAATCTACTATTCAAACGAATTCTTAAATACATGACAGATTGCTCTCTTCTGTCGATATGCAAATCTTAATAATCCTTTATTAAAAATGAACGTTTCAATACTTTACACACAAGTCTTCTCTCCTGTGTGAATACGTGCATGAGTGTTTAAATTACCCTTTTTTCTAAATGACTTCTTACATACTTCACACACGTGAGGTTTCTCACCCGTGTGAATAAGCATATGGCTCCTTAAAGTAGACTTCTGACTAAAGGACTTCTCACACACTTCACACACGTGAGGTTTCTCTCCTGTGTGAATAAGTATATGGCTGCTTAAATAAGACTTCTGACTAAAGGACTTCTTACATACTTCACACACATGAGGTTTCTCACCCAGGTGAATAAGCATATGGCTCCTTAAAGTAGACTTCTGACTAAAAGACTTCTCACACACTTCACACACATGAGGTTTCTCTCCTGTGTGAATAAGTATATGGCTGCTTAAAACAGACTTCCGACTAAAGGACTTCTTACATACTTCACACACATGAGGTTTCTCTCCCGTGTGACTAAGCATGTGCTTCTTTAAATAACCCTTGTGATTAAATGACTTCTTACATAGTTCACACACATGAGGTTTCTCTCCCGTGTGAATAAGCATATGAGTATTTAAATAACCCTTGTGATTAAACGACTTCTTACATAGTTCACACACATGAGGTTTCTCTCCTGTGTGAATAAGCATATGGCCCCTTAAAGTAGACTTATCACTAAAGGCATTCTGACATACTTCACACACATGAGGTTTCTCTCCTGTGTGAATAAGCATATGATAGCTTAAAGCATACTTCTGATGAAATGACTTCTTACATACTTCACACACATGAAGTTTATCTCCTGTGTGAATAAGCATATGAGTGATTAAATGATGCTTGCGTCTGAATGACTTCTTACATACCTCACAGACATTAGGTTTCTCTCCTGTGTGAATAAGCATATGGTTGCTTAAACCACCCTTCTGACTAAATGACTTCTTACATAATTCACACACATGAAGTTTCTTTCCTCTGTGAATAAACATATGGATGTTTAAATTACTCTTCTTGCTAAATGTCTTCTTACATATTTCACATATATAAGGTTTCTCTAGTGCATGAGTACACACATACATGTTTAAACTGAACTTTTGACTTAATGATTTCTTAAATACTTCACACACATGATGTTTTTCTCCTGTGTGAATAAGCACATGATTGTCTGAATTAATCTCTTAACGACATGTCTACATACCTCACATATAAGAGCTTTCTCTCCAATGTGAATTAGCATACGCATCTTAAAAGTATTTTTTCGACAAAATGACATCATACAAATTTAATACATACAAGGTGTGTGTTCAGTATAGATATGCATGTGCTGTTTTACGTATTACCTCTTCAAAGTGATTTGCTACTTTGTAACAAACTATGAACCTAGAATATGTAATTTCAGAACAGGAACATCCTTCTCCATGTAATTTCTGCACTATATTGATAACTGTAGCTGACATTCTTAATATAACTTGTTACATATCCCGTGATGACTTTCATCCTCTGACGGAATGTGAAACGGGCTGCTCAGCAGAAATTTTGATAAAAGTAGTTTTAAGATGGTTCACTCTAGCATTTCATGTCTCATATAAATACGCATTTTTTTCTTCATAAAAGAATCAACACAAATTATACATGTGGCGTATAAGCTGTTTGCTATTAGAATACCTCGTTTCCAATAACGTTTCGTAGAAAATTAATTTCTTATAGTTCACAAAAGTAAGACTTCCTGCCCGATCATATAAACATGTTTAAACAGGAATTTGTAAAAGTGGGTCACTCATGGTATGTTACGATCACTTGAAATATTTCTATAGTTGCTAGCCAATGATTTATAGCTTGAAGAATTTACATGTCAACGTTAGAAATTTAGTAACAACTGTTACAGCTTACACGGAAAAAGTAAGCGGGTATCCAAGCTTTGAATACTAAAAAGTATGAATCACACTTCAGCATGAAGTAAACTTTAATTAAAGACTCACATCAGAGTTTTAAAACAGTCACTTTCATTAAAAAATTGTAACTGCGGTAATTATTCAAATAATACAATCAGTTTCAACAAAAACAAACTTTATCATCATACAAACATTTACTCAGCAGGAACCGTACTAAAACTTAAATATCATACACAAATTACTAAACTATACTAGCAAAATGTAAGTGAGGCTTGCTCACAAACCAGGAAGTATAAAATACAAAACAATAAATATTAAAATTAATAATATATTATTAACATCCTCTCATCTTTTGATATAAATTATAATCATAAATAATTATAATTTTAAATTATAATCCAAAGTGGCTGTTTTTTTTTCCGCTGGCGATTTTCCGTTTCCATTATAAACGTTTGTTATATATTATTATATATTATAAATGTTTGATTATAAACGTTGATAAATTAAAATTGATGATCAAATTTGATGATAAATTTAAAAGAAAATGGTGTTTGATAATGAATTATAATCAAGACGCAAAATCACCACTCTCTCATTTTAAGTTAGTATTAGAAAATACAGTCGGTCACAAAAGTATTCGAACACCTGTACCTTATCAGAAAATGACAAGATGTGTTTTTCTCTCTTTCCTTCGTGTTATTTCATCCCAGGTGTTTCTTCTTTTCCCATCTTGGAAGAACGGGACATGACCGCTCACCCCGCCTCTCACTCTGTTTGAATGGGGACGCCATTTTGAGAAAAGCGGACGACCCCATCTTGGAGGAACGGGACATGACCGCTTACCACGCCTCTCACTCTGTTTGAAACTTGAAGCCATTTTTAGGGACTTTAGAAATCTGCACCCCGATGTTTTTAAATTCGGAAAACCATTTTGGAAAAAACGGACCCTCTGATCTTGGAGAATTGGCGAAATGAACGCTCTACACGATCTCTCTCTCTCTCTCTCTCTTTGAATTTAGAAGGTATTTCGGGACCTTCTAACCAAAGAATCTCTAAGGAGAAGAATAGATTTCCCGAGGCAAATGTGGCTCCGTCAGACTGAAGAGACACTGTGTATGTCCCTGAAGCTTATTTTAAAGGGGCAATCCATCCACTCTCCGTACCTTTCTGCGCATGTGCGAAATAACAGGTAAGAAACCGGCATGTCGTCAGCCATATTAGCAATCTTTTACCGCGTTGCTCAAAGAGGTTCTTTGAAAGTTTTTTTTCAGTTCTTTTCTCTAGATATTTAAGCAGATCATAAGATGGATGTTTCGCAAGACGATCACCGGAATACACCCGATTCTCTTTCTGTGAGGTAAGCTTGCTTTTTTAATTCGAAAACCTATCATAGATTTTAAAAATTGATTTTGTGTAGTACATTAATTTTGATTCCCAAGCTCCAAAAATATTTTGTCTCATTGTCTAACACAGCAGCTAGATTTTCATTCTTAATATATTAACTTTGCATTTTAGCATATGAATCTCAATTTATATAATTAATCATATGGCAAACAAATACTATAGTTTTTGCAGGCATATTGGTATTTCTTTCCAAATTTTTTAATGAGTTTCAAGCTTTAAAGTCAATAATAATAATATTACGACAAAAACGAGCGATCAGGAATAAATTTGCCATTTATAATAATGCGGCAGCTAATGGCATGTATGATTGCATAAATTAATTTTATTAATAAATTTTATTATGCTTCAGCTTTAAATTTATGCTATAGATTACCAAATAGTTTATCTGAGAAAATTTATAAATTATTTAATTATTAAAGTATGTTAATAAATAATAATAATATAATATATAGTTTAGATAAGTTCTGGCAACAGTGAGTGTTGTCGTCATCAGGAGATCGTGCTTCGCGATACTGTCGTTCGAAAGAATAGCTATAGTTTGTAATTCCAATAAAAGCATCGTATTTTTGCTCTGCTATTCGTTTTTCTCTTTATTTTTAGAAATACCTTTTTTAGGTTATGTATTTTTAAGAAATACTTTTTTAGGTTATGGGTCAAGCAAGCTCCCATATTGCGTCAAAATGTTTTGAATTGATGTTTTCTCGAAGAAACGGAACTCGTTAAGCCTAATCAAGTAAGTGTTTTGTTTTCGTTATAGCAATCGAAAGTTGTTTAGAAATCAAAGTATGGAATTATCTAAGGTCCAAGTAAAGCCTTTATCAGGTGAAAGCGATTGGCTTATATGGAAATACAGGATAAAATTTATTTTAAATTATCATCCTGGTGCTTTAGAAATTGTAGAAGGAACTATAGTGAAACCAGAAGTTCTTCCTGTAGATGCTCCGATTGCTCAACAAGAGAAATATAATGAAGCTGTTAAGAAATTTCAAAATGCAAACACTAGTGCTATGATGGTATTAACGAATTCCATGACGAAAGAAACTCTGCAAAAAGTTATGAGATTTCAGACTGCTAGAGAAGTGTGGTTGGAATTACATAAGTTATTTGAAGCATCATCAGGAAAATCAATTGTATAATATATGCATGTAATTTTTTCAATTCAAGTGGAATGAAAAAGATAATATGGCGGCTCATCTTTCCAAATTAAAAAACTTATGGAATGAGTTGAATTCAGGACTTGAAAAGAAAAATGAAAATAAGTTACCTGACATGCTACTCAATTGCAAGATTTTAGATGTCTTACCAGAACAATACCATTTGTTTAAGTCAAGTTGGTTACTCTTGGGTGAAGACAAAAGAACAGTTGATGAGTTAACAGCACAGCTTTGCTCTCATGAAAGAGAATTTAAAAGTCATGAGAAAGGCAATACAAATGAACAAGTGGCATTAGTAATGTCAAAATCTGAAAAACAAAAGCAATATAAAAAAGACAAATTCAGAAGAAAACCAAGAAAAGAAGATATTTGCAATTATTGCAAAAAGAAAGGACACTGGGTAAAAGATTGTAAACAGTGGATTGCTGATGGAAGACCACCCAAGAATAGGTTGACGAAAACCAATGAAGGAAATACAGGCAGTGTAATACTGATGTCCATTGACGAAGAGGCTAAGACTGATCGAACATCTTTTTGGATTGATAGTGGAGCTACAAGACATATCATGAATTGTTTCACATACTTTATTGACTTTATGAAGTTTGATAGTCCCTGTAGCATCAAGGCTGCTGGAAAAGAAACTTTAGTTGCTCTTGGTAAAGGTACAGTATGTGTCAAAACAACTATTGGTAGTAAAATCCAAAGAATTTACCTTAAAGATGTTTGGTATGTCCCTGAGATAAACAGAAATTTATTTTCTTTACTTGCTGCTCAAGATAGAAATCCGAATAGTAAATTTATTTCAACAGTTACAGAATGCTGGTTAAAGGTTAATGGTCAAGTAGTGCTTTTTGGAACTCGCAAAGTATATGGTACTTTATACAAGGCAGCTATCGAACCTATTATGCCTGATAAAATTATAGAAGTGCATGCTGCTGAAGCAGACAATTCCTTGTTAGAGTTATATCATCAGAGATGGGGACATCAAGATAAACGTCACATTAAGAACATGCTTGAGAAAGAATTAGGAATTAAAATCCCATTTGAAAGAAAATTGTGTGAACCATGCATTTTTGGCAAAGCACACCGTTTACCATTTGGCATAAGAAAGCCAGCCAGCAAGCCTGGTGAATTAATTTCAGCTGATGTCTGTGGACCTTTTGATGAATCTTTCCAGAAGAAAAGATACTTAGTTGTGTTTAAAGATAGCTACACAAAGTTTCGTTATGGGTATTTTATCAAGGAAAAATCTGCTGTTGTAAATATGTTACAACACATGCTTGCACACGCTAAAATTTTAGGACATCCAGTCAAAGAATTTCTCAGCGATAATGGAGGCGAGTTTGACAATGACAAAGTGCGTGCTATTTTGCATTCTGAAGGTATAACTCAAAGACTAACAGCACCTTATTCTCCTGAACAAAATGGCTCTAGTGAAAGAGACATACGTACAATAATCGAAATGGCAAGAACATTTAAGTACTCAAATTCTGAAGCTCATTTTCCTGCAGCAATGTGGGCTGAACTAGTCAACACTGCCATATATGTACTAAACAGAACTGGCAAATCATCAGTAGAAGGCATGAGTCCTTATGAGCTATGGTTTAAAAAGAAACCTCGAATTAAGCA